GTCCACAGCAATAAATTTTCACCAGCTCTTAAAGCAGAATTATTATGACAATATCCCTGACAGTCTTGGAAGGGATTGGCATAGTAAAGTAAACAGATACAATGATGACCACACAGTCACCACCAGCCTTACAAGGACGGTAACCTGGTTACGAATCGACGCCGACCACATATTTCATGGTAGTTTCACTATCACCGCTACTCCCTCATTGTCCCGTTCTATAATTATTTCTAGATGGTATCATTTGGAAAGTTTAAGTAAAAGTTTTATTATTACTAGTATCATCTAGAGCCAGCAATCATAGAGTATCTCATTAAGGACGATATATGACTTTACATTATGAAGAAAAACACCATCACTATAGTGTTAAACTAGGCAGGGTTAATTGGATACTTATCAATATTTTTATCCTATATTTGTTATATTGATATTAAACAGGATATAAAACGAAAAAAATAACAGTTTTATTTTAAAAAAAGTTCCGGTATCAATGAAATTTGTATTGTCTTTAATTTTTCAGTTCTTTTGGAACTAGAACATTTTTTCAAGAAAACGTTTTCGATATAAGTTTTTATAAAACTTTTATTTAAAAGTTCCGTTCGAGCAATTCATTTTTCCAAGAAGTAAATAAAAAAAAATTGGTGACAGTAAAAGACATTTGTTTTCACTCAAACAAAGAAAATATTATTTCCCATTCCTACGATTCTTTAAATATGATTTCCCCCCTCCTCCCTCTCCTCGCAATATTTAGTGAAAATTTTATTAAAAATCAATAAATAAAAGTTATATATTTATGATAAATACAGAGATTTATTGCAAAAAAATGTTCCTCGGAACTTTTATCGTAATTTCAAACGAGTTCCATCGGATCTTTTAAAGTTTCTTGATATTAACCTTTGACCATTGAAAACAGATAGTTATTAAAAAAATAAATTAAGCTATTGATATCTTATTTATTATTTCTTTTCTAAAATTATTTTTTTTTAAGTTTATTTATTTATTAATTTTACCTTATTTATTTAAATATACCAGCTAAATAATTTAAAAGTGGTATTATTATGTCGATTGGGCGCTAATGACTGTTTTGATGAATGTTTTGCGCCTAAACATCAAAACAACCAATCAACCAACAAACAAGAAATTAAACATCTCTACAAGAAAAATGAGACCTAAGCACAATATCTCAAAAATATAGATTTAATTTTTTTTCCTAAATCATATTACTAAAGATTTTTTTGTTTATATTGTCATTATTAATATAATTTTGATTATATATATATTTTTTTTAATATTGAGAAATTTACTTAGTTTTTCTCTATTGAATATTTAATAGTTGACCGTTGCATTATAAAGGAAGGAGATGGATCCGGGGTGGCTGTCATAAATAGGCTAAATAGTTTTGTCAATTTTTCTCTAATTCGGAGAAATTTTTTTTAATAATGATAAATGTTAATACTTATGTATGCTTTTAGTAATCCATTAAATACTGATTTTCAATCAGTTCCTAATAACAAGACTCTTTTTTTTTAGAAATCGATAAGTTTTTTATCTATATATATATAAATATATAAATATTTAATTGTTGTTATTAGTGGTATAACAGGTCTAAGCCATCGATTCGATGTTAATCCTGTCCAATTTTCAAATATTAAAAATTTAGTGGTTCATAATATTGATGTTTTTATTGATTTTTCGATATGATTTAGATATATGTGCTTGTGTTGATACTATTTTTCGATAATTAAATTACTATTATTTTTAAAATTAAAAAATATCCATACGATTTTTTTTTTTTGCACAAGATGTCTCATTATGAACTTCATTCCCTAAACTCTCAGCTCGTTAAGGGGGAGATGTTAAGTCGATTACGCATTATATTCAAGCTTGTGATTTTTTTTTTTTAAACTACGGTAAGTACTTTAAAAAAATCGGATAGGTTGGAACGAACTAAGATTTACTGTCGTAAAAACAACTTTCTCATTTACACTTTAATGATCTTTTATGATGATAGCGCAATTGCTGAAACTAGTCATCTCTGAAAATATTTATTTATTTATATTTTTAATTTTCACTGCCAGTTAATGCGAAGAGCCGATTAAACGGGACTTGCTCAATAACGTAGTTCTACGAAACATAAATAGGTTTTTGACTTTAGGTTTTTTTGATTTATGACATTTGGATAATTTACATTTAATAAAAAGGCACACTTCAATCTGGAAAGAAGAGAACCAAATCGAGGAAGGTCACTTGAATGACGGAACTATTTTCTATCCGAAGGCCCGAAGGAGAAAATATTGCATTTTTTTTTTTTTAATCTTGTATGCTTAATAGCAGGGATGGTATACACATAGTTGTATACAATGATATACCAAATCTACAAAACCCGTTTTGCCGAGAGGCAAGGCAGGGAACAATAAATAAATAATAATAATTTAATAAGAAGGAGCTCTAATTGTATTTCAAATATTTGCTTAAGAAAAAACCATTAAAAAATATCAGATAATTAATAATAAAATTATATTGATTTTAATATTATATATGATGTTTCGTATGTAGAGGGAAATTTTTATAGGAGTTATAGCAAACCGAATGTTACAAAAAATTCATACAAATAATGGCCCAATTTTCAGTAGAAAAGTAGGAAGTCCGTTTTGTGTTTTTTTAAGCAAGTCGTATAAGGAAGAGATAAATAAAGAATTAATTAATTAAGATAATTAACAATTGCTTCACTGTAAACTATAGAAAATTTACTTTAAATTAAATTAGAGTTTATCATTGATAAAACCATATAAAGAGACTTTTGAGTGGCTAAATTAAGCTAAGTTTTGTTTTTAAAAATATAAATTATTCGCAATTTTTTTTATCATCATCTAACTATAATACAGATAACCCACTTCTAGGAAAACTTCATCGTTTAATAAGATTTAAGTTCATATTAATTAAGTAGAAATTTATTAGAAAAACTTCTACATTTAATAAGCTTATAAAAAGACAATCCTCAAACCTATCTGGACCTACGGACTCGAATTGTGAGGGACAGCAAAACTTTCTAACATGTAACGCGTTCAATCCTACCAGTCCAAAGTTCTTCGAACAATAGTCGATGCTCCCTTTATGAAACCCTACACTATGACCTTAATATCACATTTGTACTTGACCTATTCCCAGACAAATTTTCTAAATTTCACCAGAGTCTCACTCATCATACTAATCCTGTAGCACAGTCTCCATCTAGCTCCAGTCATCCCTAGAGAAGCACTGGGATCTCCTGGAGTCCTGCTTTGGCTTCCACGATTGGGAGTCCCCTTTGCCAATGTAAATATTGTACATAGGTGTGAATGTATTTTATTTATTTTATTATTATTCGGCTTTAATCTGTTATTTTACTTATCTTGTATATTACTTTATCTTTTTATTTATATATGTATTCTTATTTTTGTTATTTCTTTTTACTTGGTTATTTTTATTTAATTTCATTTCTTATGTACATATTGTATGAATGAATACTATAGCGCTAGTACCAATGCCCTTCTTACAGGCAGACTTTATTAATACTCAATAAAACAATTAATTAATAATAAGCTTATTATTATAAGAATTGTATGATTTTCTATTTTGTCACCTAAAAGTAGCTTTGTTTTCAGCAAAAATGACTACAATCACAGGTCGATCTACGGAGAGCGGGAGGGGGGAGGGAGGAAGCTTTCGGGCTGAAGCTCCCCCAACCATGTTTTATGGAAAAAAAAAATTAAAAAATTATCTCTTAAAATATGATTGTTCGTATAATTAGATTTAGTAGGACTTCAAGAATCACTTAAACACCATTTCATATAGGTAGTTGGTATCTTTTTTTTTCCAAAATAATTATCGTTATATATATATATATATATATGAAAAAAAAATTTCGGACTGAAGACCCCTCCCCCAAAATTAAATCCTGGATCCGCTTTCGACTACAATTAACAGTTGCAAAGCTTTTATTACTTGTTTTTCCATAAGCTGAGATATATTATAATAAATATAATTGTATATATAATGCATTTTTTATTTATAAAAATAAAAATTTCATAATAATGATTGATGGAATATTTTCCATTGAAAGTGGTTATGAAAGAGTGTTTATCTCCCAGAGCTCTTTTATAGGTATTTATAAACGATAAACTTAATGTTTCTAGCCCCAATTTTTACGTTTACATGGAAAAAATATAAACAATCAGCAGTTTATTTTATTTTTTTTTAACGACATTAAGTTCGTTACTGATAAATACGGATCAATTCTTATGACAGAGTTTTGGACGACAAATACCCCTTAATTTTTTATGTTTAATACAATATATTCCAAATTATGGAATAATATTATTTTGTTACACAACTTGAGATGAATCTCAAGTTTTTGTCTAATAAATCTCAACTTAATTAATACGAACTTAAAGCTCATTAAACGAGGAAGTTTACCTAAAAATAGGGCATCTGAAGTAAATTTGGATGATAATAAAAAAAATAGCGAATACTTTATGATTTTTTAAAAAACAAAACTTAACTTAGTTTAGCAGCGCAAAAGGTCTCTATATATGGTTTTAACAATGATAAACCCTAATTTATCATTGTTTAAAGTGAATTTTGTCTAGTTTACAGTGAAGCAATTGCTGATTACCTTAATTAAATAATTCTTTAGTTATCTGTTCCTATTCAACGAAAAATATGACGCATAAACAAACACAATATGGATTAACTACTTTTCTACTGATGAAAATTGGTCCATTATTTGTATGAAATTTTTTTTAGCTATCACCCACATCAAATTATTCCTCTACTTATGGGACACTCTGTATAGTGTGTAATGTATATTTTATTAATAGTGTTCAGAACGGTATACCAACATTAACTGGTTTTTTTAAGTTTATAAGTAAACATACAATTATTAAATAAACACTAATCAAACGAGTATTATTATATAGACGCTGTATATATAATAATAATAATAATAAGCAGGATGTTACCTCAATTTTCTCGAGATACTCTCCTGTCTGCACTGTGAACCTCGTACGATGTGATGAAATCTAATGATAGCAAATCAGCGTTTGGTTTTTATATATGTGGTTGATAATGGCTGCATAATCGAGATAGATGTTATTTTGGTTTATTATTTTCAATGATGAACCATTGTGATCGAAAAAAAAAATTCAAAAACTTAACCTCCTCTCAAAAGTTGAGGTTTTACGTTTCAGAATACGTAGAATTCGAAAATAGAATTAAAAAAAAAATTTCAGTCCGCCATCCGCGGTCGGTGCATTTTCCCCGAAAGTACCGCACCGATTTTTTTCAAATTTGGATTTAAAGTCAGATGTCACCCGAGAATGATCCTACTTCATCGGCATTGCTATCCGTCTTTTCCTTTTGAAGATGGCGGCCGAAAAAGCTGTGTTGCTATAGACTGTAGCGCCTAATGAATGAATCGATTTCAATGAAACTTGGCTAAAGTCTTCTTCTCGATGCCCTTTAAATTTATCTAAATAACATACTTCAACGAAAAGAAGCTGGAAAAAAAGTTATGGGGGGTGGTAAAATTAGATTCCGAATAACTCGAAAAGTATACACTTTTTTGAGTATATTTGAAATAATTATTTAAAAGTTTATGAAATTTCCTAAAAAACAAAAAGGAAAAAAAAACTGGCCAATTTAGAGCAATGTCTATAGATGTTTTTTATATATTCTACTGCAAAGGTTATATAATTTGTTTTGGTTTTTGATTTTTGAATGTGTTACTGAAGTAATGTTATTTTTTTGTTTAGCTAATTACTGATGATAAAAAAAAAAGGTTTAGGCCAATAATTGGAATCCCCTTTTATTTCTTTGTTACTGGGGAGTTAATGTTACTTTAGATGTATAACTGTTTCGAAATAATAAACCATCGTGAAATAATTTGCAGAGTTTTTAATACTTCATTAAGTTTTTAAGTTTATCAAGAAATCTATTTTTAACTATATTTCCGTAATTTGGGATTTTCTTATCATTTATTTTTTTCCGATGAATAAATTTGTGAAATATGGTTTCGTAGTTGTCGCAGTATCATATTTTTTTTTATTGACTTTGAAACACGTTTGGATGTTTTCCTTACCTGCTGAGTAATCATAGGATCCTAGTATTCGATTTATTTATAATTATATAATTTATTATTCCATTCAATGAATGATATAAAGGAGTGATAAAATGTATGGAGAGGAAGAAAGCATTTGGCTTGAGGAATTCATATGTGATATTTATGAGGTAAATATACTAAAATTCATCTTCCCTAGCCTTGTCGCTTAAATCTCCATAACGGAGGGGGGGGGGGTCACGCAGAAATACTTGTTCTATCCAAAATTTAATTCAACAACTTTTCTTTTAAGTACGTTTCTATTCATCTTTTAGGCATCTGTTCCGCGTCCACTGAATACCAACACTTTTAATGTAGGTCACTTACTCCACTCGAAATCAATAATTTCCCGATACCTGGAAATCGGTAATGAAGGTATGTGTGACATTCAATATTTTAACAGTGTGAGTGTCGATTATACAGAGTTATTCTTTTTTAGAGTCTGCTATATGCACCATAGGCCACTTATCCACTTCATAGCAGTGAAGGATTTAGAGTAACGAGATATCAAAAGAAACTGAATTTTATGAAGAAAAAACAAATCCATTTTTCCACATTTTTATTTCATAGGTATTAGGTCACAGGTCACCAATAACATACGTTTTTTAAATGTGACTTCTTTATTTGTCAACGTTTTGGCCTCTCAAGCCGTTTTCAAGATTCTGTAAACATTAATTTTAACCAAAATAATAAAAAAATATTACGTTAAATACTAAAATTTTTTAAATGGAATAATATTATAGAATAAGGACTATGTATGTAACAGACTGTTTAAAATGAAATATTTTAAAGAAAAATAACTAAATAAATTTTTCTATTATTTTTTCATTGAATCTTGAAAATGCCTTAAGAGACCGAAACGTTGATAAATAAAGAAATAAAATAAATACGTATGCTATTGGTGACCTGTGGCCTAGTACCTATTAAATAAAAACATAAATACATTTTTTTTTTAAGAATAAAACATTAAAGTTTTCGTCTAATTTTAAAAATACATAGGTAAAATTATTAGCTATAAAGTTATTAATCAATAAAAAATTGAATCCGATAACCAATTTACCAAGATTGCATGATTTTATTTTAATATCTAGAGCACTTAATATCTCATGTAAAAGTAACTCCTGCATATTGTATAGGTCATATAAAAAACTAATGAAAAATAAAATAATAATTACAAATAAAATAACTTACTTGAATTTGGTTACAGGCCGGCGATTATCGCAAGGAGAACTGTCATCGAGTTTTTGAAACCTACGAAGAAAAACAATCGTGAGCTGATTTTCAGATTAGTTGATAAGAAAGTGTTTCGATTGACGTCGAAATATTACTATTGAAATATGTTAGAAATGAAAAATAACCTTATCGATAACAAACAACCTTAAAAGTAAAAAAATAAAAAATAAATGCGTTTCTATTGAAAGTACTTTCATTATCCTTCCAAATGTAAAGAGGGTCAATAGTTTGATTGATGGAATAATAATTTCAATTCAGTAAAATCAATTGATGAGGCAGGAGATGAAGGCCATTTATGTCACTCGATTAATTGTAAGTATTAAGAATAACTGATAGAAGTTGACAAGTGAAAAGAGTACTTTAGATTTACAAAGTATTAATAATAAAAGGCATTGTAGCTAATAGTAAATCCGAAACAGCTATTAATTTAAAAAAAGGTATTGCATATATGTGGCTAAAGCGCTCTCGCTCACTCTTCACCACAGGCGGATTTACGGAGGGGGGGGGGAGCTTTCGGGCTGAAGCCTCTCCCAAAACGGTAAAATATAACCATGTTTTATAGAAAAAAATATAAAAATATATCTCTTATAGTATTATTGTTCGTGTGATTTCATTTAATAGGACTTCAAGAATCACTTAAACACTATTTCATATAGGCAGTTCATTTCTTTCTTCTTTTTTTTTTCAAATTAATTTTCGTTATATATATGAAAAAAAAATCTATCGGGCTCAAGCCCCCCCAAAATTAAATTCTGGATCCTCTAGTGATCTTCACTGGCTGTAGCACCAGTGACGTTGTTGAGAGGGCAGTGCAGGGATCTCTTAGAGATCTGCTTTTCTGTCTATAGTTATAGCGAGAAGCCTGGCCTGATTGTAAATAATTTATTAAAAGTATGGCTATTTTTTTTTTTTTTCTCATCTTTAATTCATTTTATTTTTATTTATCGTATAAACTTTTTGATTATTATTTAAGTGGGCGCAGACTCCGGGGGGAGGGGATACGTCTTCTTCCTCCTCCCAATAAAAATGTTGAGGGAGAATATTGTTTCGCTCCCTCAATAATTTGAAGTAAAAAAAAAAAAATAATGATAACAAACAAGCTACAAGAATGAATAAAATGTATAAAAAAAAATCGATTAAGAAAATAAGTCGACTAGCTGGCGAGGCTAAGGCTTATGAGTAGGTACGTAATAATTTTATCACGACCTAATTTTCCAATTATTAAAATTTTTATTCATATTCAGGAATAACAATATAGAAAACCTCAATTTTCACGTTGTTTTCATAGCGATAAAGTTGAAAAAAATATATTCAATAAGTATAAGTATAAATATATTTTATAGAGAATGTCATTATAGACATTATAGACATTTTCACATAACTGGTCAGACTGTGAAAACGTTTTATTTTTATTTGGATGTTGTACAAACTAAGAAAGCAAAAGTATTTTTCAGTTTATTATTTTTTATTTATTATCATTATTTATTTTTGGCCGAAAAAGCTAAATTAGTGCCATTCGCAATACACCCCGGTATAGCATTGATTCTGACGTACTTCCCTAAGAAACGACACCTATTTATCCTTGAGATAATTGCAGAGAATAATAACGCAGCCACGAAGAAGTTTTTATACTTGTTGAGAACCTTTAATGCAATCGACAATTACCAATTCGATAAACTAAATGAAGAATAAATTACGACCAAGGATACTTTTTTACGATAGCTTCTTAACTACTATAAAGTTTTTTGGTGGGAAGTAGGATATAAAAAAAATTAACCATATTTGTTTATGGATTTAGATTTAATATTAGCTTGCAAATTCTTTAATATATACTATTGAAATATATAGCGTCGAATGGTTAGAAATCGTTAAGCGGAGAGTCTGCATTCTAGCAATTTGTTAACTATTAAGAGTTATTCCTCGTTATCAGTTGTGAATGTCACAAAAGTAGAAAAATAGTTGAATATTAGAAGTATATCCGTAAACGCAATGTGCTCCAATGCATCTCATCGGCTGCATTGTCGATGCTTTCGTGAAAACTACTTGCAAGAATGTGACCATCTCAAAAAATTGCATGGCGCAAGTTGTGCTCTTTTCGACATCCCTGCTCCTGTCTTAGGTTTTGAACCAATCAACTGCTTTTTCATTAAGCATATTTGTAAATAAAACACTCCTTTTCTCCCCAATATTTTTAGACACAACAAATACTTTTAAAATATTTAAAACATAACAAATATTAATTTAAACGAGCTGATATGTCCAAAAGAGGTTCGATCCTAATATACATGGCGCTCACAGTTACGTGGACCACATTCACTGTTGAACTGGAAGCACGTGGAATATACGTGATAAGGGAGACACAATGGAAATAAAGGAGTGGCGATTGAAATGTTTAAAATAGTACAGCTATATCCACTTCTTTCATGGCAACTAGAGCACGTCCTGAGACTAACGCCATTTGTCCAAGTTCCATTCTCTCATACAACGGTGCTTTTTTTAACATGATTCTCATGCAATTCATTTTCCACTTTACTATTACATTTCAGAATAATAAACAATCGTTACCGAATTTTTTTTTTTTTTTGTTTTTTTGTTATAACTTACATTTAAGTAGAAACTACTATATTAAATATAATAAAGTATATCAACGGCGGTAAAGAATTATATCAATATAATGTTCATCATT